GTGAAGGCTTTTCATGCTCAAACTTTGCTGTGGTTAAAGTTCTCTGAAGAAAGTTTTATTTTAGGCTGTTTAATTTTAGCTACTTTTCTGCAGTCCTGTGTTGTCTAGGTTTGAACACTGTAAACAGCCCCACAGAGGCACAGAGTGGCACTCAGAATTATCTCTTTAACCAACAGACCACATAAAAGGAGAACAAGAGTCAAAGAAAAGCTGTTTTTGTTAATAGAAATGGGAATGAAATGTCCCAGTCATAGCAGCTGTGTAAGTCAACGGTCACTTTCAACTGTATCTTTAGATGCAGGTTTGGAGGGGTACCGCGTGTGTCCTTTGTAGGGTGGGACTTGTCAAAAGTCTTTTGCTTCCTCCTGACCTCCAGGGAACACAGGCTGATACTGTGAATCCCTTGGGCCAGCTGAGGGAAAGAGCAAAGGACGTACTCTCACCTGCAGGATATACCCAGCAAGCCTCTTTATGAATCACACTTTTGGCTAGGGGTTCCATGTGGGAGCTGTGAGGAAGTTTGTGGGGCTTTACAGCAAAACCTTTTTTTTGCGGAGATTGTGAATATGTTCCTGTAATTCCAGGCCAGGTTTGTTTGCTTCAAGTGCAGTGATTTCTAAATAGCTTTTGAGGTCTTTTTTTCAGTTTTTAAGGGCTTAAGGCAGGAAATAATCAATACGATGTGCAATAATCAGCCCGAAACAAGAGACCGCCATTACACAAAAATGCACAATTGAAAGTCATTAGTAGAGCAGGACATGAGCTTCTATTTTTGGCATCCTTTTCTTGTGTCTTGTTACAGGACCACCCTCTTCCTTTGCGTTAAGAACATCTTTGATAGAATCTCTTGTTCTCAGCCACAGCCAGTCAGGAAGGAAAAACAAAACCTCTCTAGGAAAGAGCCCACAGTGCAACCCCCTGTTGTGTGATCTCTTTTAATGGACTAGATCAGAGGAAACAAGAGCAGGAATTCAGTCAGAGCACATACTCTGGAAATGTCTCAGCTGAGCCCCACAGAGTCAGAAAGTTCATTTAAATTGCAACCCCATACTTGTTTTGGGAATGGTTGTTTATTGTTCCATATAGCAAGCTTTTAGAGGCTTTTCAAACTGCCTGGAGATCAGGTTCTGGAAAATTTGTCTGTGGTTTGCTCAGATCGTTTTCTAGATGGATTTTTTATGGGCTGATGCATCCTATTTCTAACCAAGGAGAATGTATTAGAAGAGCTTCCCCTCCCCACCCAGTGCTTTCTTCCTTGTATAGAATTTAGAAGCACAAAGGCAGACTGTACAAAAGTGGAAACACAGGTTCTTGGCAGTCTGAACCAGCTGCTTCAGTTGTTTTAATGCTGTATAGGCTACAGGGTGAGAAGAATCTGGAGAGGTAGGTTTTCTTCCCTGCTTTGGCATTAGTTCTCTGTTGTGCTATTTCTCCCCACCCCTGCTCTGCCCCCTTTAAGACTTAAATAAAACTGGAGGGAATGCTAACCATGCCCTGGTGACAATATTTTGAAATCTTCTGTGCAGCCTCTGCAGGATTTGTTTCTGCATTGTACCAGCAGGCCTGCTCCCTCGTTCTCGGAGCTCCTAAACTAAGGTACAAGTTGAAGGAATGAGTTGGCTGGATGCAACGAGGTGGGAAATGGCAGGCATAAATAGCTCTCAGTGGTAAGTGCCTTAGAAGTGCCTAGAGAGAGGATGGGCTCATTCAGGCAGGCAGCAGTGATGGCGGTGATCAAAAAAAGAACTACATATATTCTTACCACTCTGTCCAAATCAAATGCCCAGCTAAAACCCATATTCTGACTTAGTAAATACTGTCAGTCACGTGCAGCATAACGATTTTCGGATGTTTCCCGTTTGCTGACTCCTAAATATTTGCCTATGGGAGAGTATAGCTTAGGGCCTCCAAGTTTATGGCATCTTTTCAGCCCCTCTTTCCCAGAGAGGATGAGGAGCTCACCCTAGCACACATGCCTCGGAACAGAGGGACTAAATCAAGTGAGCAAATGAGCTGCTACAGACTGTGACTTGTTAAGGACTAAACTGCAGCTACCTCCTACCACCTTCTCCTGCAACATCCCTGTAGAGTAATGCAGCACACGGATTTCAGAAAGCTAAACCTTGCATTTTAAACTGCAACTGAATTATACAAGTTATTGAGGTTGTTACAGAAGACATTGACTCAAATTTTATGGCAATCCAGCATTCCAGAAGGTAAGATGGAAGGCAGGGGTATAACAAATGAGAAGGGAGTGGCAGGAAGATGAGAGAGGGAAAGTATTTGTCTTTGGTGTATGAACTTGGCTACACTTCATGTCATGTAACAGTATTTGCTTAAATAACATCACTGATGCATAAATGTTTGCATGCAGGTACTCAGTTTTCCTCCCTTCTCTTCCTCCCATATATAGTCTTGAGCAATCTGTTAAAACATGGGATTAGCTGATGAAAATCTCCAGTGTAAAGGAGGTTACAAGGCAAGACAAATGGTAGAGTTGGAGGGCATGTGCAAAACAGTCGAGGAATATCTGAGCTTGTCACTGGGGATTTGGGATACCGAATGTTGTAACAATGGTTTCAGGGAAAGCTGGTTATTATTGTAAACACAATTTTACAGTTCCTTAATTATAAACAAACTTAGTGAAAGCAGTAAAGCTGCAATTACATCAAGTCATTGCCCAGGCAGTATGTTTTGTATGCAGAAAGCCAGCATGCCCTAGCGGAGTAATGTGTCCTCTCTAACCCTCTGGGTGTCAGTGAAACTGTGTATGTTTACAGTAGCCAAGGATCTGTCCCACCCTGCATTCTGCTGTCTTCACCTATGCTAAAGATCTGAGCGCAGAGCAGCTCTTCTCTCCTTTGGAGACTGGTGTGTGGTGCATGAGAGAAGGGAAATGGTGACTTGTTTCAGATGATGTTGCCCGCTGGTCAACCACGTGTATTTGGGGGGCCCTTTGTGGCAAAGTGGCACACAAAGCGTACAAAAGCAGTCCTAGGGAATCAAGGCTTGTAGTACAGGCCACAACCTGGAGGGGTGAGGAGGAAGGGGAGCGTTTGCCACAAGCCCGTTGCTGCCTACCCTGCTCAGAGAAGAAACGCGCCGGCAGCCAGGTGCAAAGAGGCCTTCAGTAGAACTACAGCGCCGGACCTTCAGACATACCAAGAAGCCCAGCTTCTGGTTTTTTTTTTTTTGTTTGTTTGTTTGTATCCCAAGTGAGGTGTTTCCTGAGTACCAGTTCCCTTACTGGTTCTCATTTGCATCTGGTGCAACAACAGCAATCTAGTTCTTCATTTTGACTTTCCTTTTTTTGTGAAAAGGAGGTTAAAATGTGTTTTCCATTGTTTTTATAGCATTTGGAGAGTGAAGGGGGAAAGTGCTACCCAGGAGCAGTGCCACTACTGATGAGCCTCCAGGTTGCACACAGCTAGAAAGGACAAAAATAGCTCACACCTGGAAACTGGAGCCCATGACTGGAACTGCAGTAAGGATTGGGGTAAACAGTGGTCAGGAAAAGACAGGGAAGTTCCTGGGGTTTAATGGCTGAGGAGGAAGAGCTGTTGAGACTGCTGACTGCCCGTAGTAATTAACTCCCGAGAAATGCACAAGGGTCATTACAGCTCTTGCAAGGAATAGCAAGCATCTAATTATAAAGTAGGACGATTCATTCTCAGCAACCATCATTAATCATTTTATGAACTATGTTGAGGATGAGCAGATATAAAATATTAATTGCTATCTGCTGGTTGATTAATATAGCCTCAGGTTGTGATAGTCCTAATTAAGAAATTGATATTCACTTCAGTAAGATGAATTCTAGGATAAGATACTACTGAGTACAAGCAAAAGCATTGAAATCTTGCTTGCTAAAAGCATGGTTTTAGTTAGTTCTGGTCCTGGATAAACCAAATCAGCGGGAGCTGATGCTACTCATCTCAGATAGCTTACCTTAGAGATACTTTTATAGATGA